CGAACCCGCGTCTCCTGCATCGGCAGGCGGACTCTCAAGCACTGCGCCACCAGGGAAGCCCTCAAAGTACCACCTCTTTGAAGCCTTCAACTGCTTCACATCCTGGCCAGAAATAAAGTTGGCATATCTGTGTTCACATCGTGTTTCAGTTACTGCCACATTGTATTTCTTTCTTTCTTTTGTTAGAGTGAGTTATTAGATTTTATTGTCTCTGTTAAATTTTTAAATAACAGCTTTATTGAAATAATTCACATCTCATGCAATTCACTTTTTTAAAATGTACAATTCAGTAGTTTTTAGTATTTTCAAATTTGTACAATCATCACTATAATCAATTTCAGAATATTTTCATCACCCCCAAAAGAAAGACTCTATCCATTGTCAGTCACCGCCGTTTCCCTTTATTCTCCTGCCCCCCAACCCCAGGCAGCCAATAATCTTTCTGTCTCTATAGACTTGCCTCTTGTAGACATTTTCTATAAATGGAATCATACAATAGGTGGTCTTCTGTGACTGACTTCACTAGCATAATGTCTTCATGGTTCATCCATGTAGTAACATGTATCAGTACTTCATTCCTTCTTTTGGCTGAATAATTTTCCATTGTGTGGATATACCACATTTTGTTTAGCCTTTCATCAGCTGAAGGACATTTGAGTGGTTTCCACTTTTTGGCTATTAATGAATAATGCTGCCATGAACATTTGTGTACATATTTTTGTGTGAACATATGTGTTCAGTTCTCTTAGGTATATATCTAGGAGTAGAATTGTTGGATCATAGGTAACTAACTTTTTGAAGAACTGCCAGACTGCTTTCCAAAGCAGCTGCACCATTTGACTGCGTCACCAGCGGATTCCACTTTCTGTACCTCCTCATTAATACTTATTATTTGTCTGCCTTTTTGATTATAGCCATCCAGTGAATGTAAAGGAATATCTCGCTGTGGTTTTGATTTGCATTTTCCTGATGGCTCCTCATTAAATTTTAAATTGTTCTGGGTAAGAAATAGTCTTCTCTTTCTGATCTCCTAAAACACCCACAGTATTTTCCACATATTAGCTCATAATAAAAGTTTAAATTTATAACCCTATTTAAAAATTTTTCAGTAAAGGGGGAGATGGTCCTTAAAGTTTTTTACCTCTTTGGAAAATGTGCTCTACCCACATCACTATCGTTTTGCTCTTACCTTTACCCTGACATCTGTGTCTCTAGCATCACAGGTGCACATATATATTATGTTTGACCTCTCATTACTAAGCCCTGCATACCAAATGACTTGCTGAATGTTAATTAAATGAATGAATGAATGGAGTGTTGTTCATGTTCATTCTGGATTGTTGAGCTTGTCCCTGGGGACATGTGGGTGTTCTGTTTCTGCTACATGCTAATAACCTACTCAAAGATATAAAGAGCATTAGAGGCTTCATTTTAAACTGTCATCTCCAGAAAAATAGACTCACCACTAGAAAACTGCTTTTAAAATATAGTTTTAATTTGTCTTTTTGCATACTATTTAAATTGTTACTGTTTGTTTGAGGGGTTTCCTGTGTAGGCAGTTCCAGATTTGTGTTTATTCCTTATCTGAGGAATTCTGTGAAATATTAGCCTGGTAAATCAAGAAAGTTCATCATAGAAGTTATACTTCATTATAAGGCATACTTAAAATGCTTCAAAATGATATATGATTTTTAAGGATTTAAAGAAGATATCAAAGCCTGTCATTCAAATTTCAAAGGAACTCTATTCAACTTTAACACTATGTGAATAAACATTGGCTGATATACATATATGTTTCTAATATATTGTGCTAGGAAAATAAAAGTGTTTAATTATGTTGATATACTTTCTTGTGCTAACATTAACTTAACCTTGTGAACAGAGCAGTTATTTATTAGCAAATCTTTATGTAACTAAAACCTTTCTCTAGTGAATTTACTATAGAAACACTGGAACGCAGTCAAGATTATTTTGTACAATTGCTGAAATTTGCTAAGATACGAATTGTGGCAAGATGATGTGGTGTTTTTTAGGTATCCAAATACAGGGTTTAAATATTTGTTGCTTTCGTGCTCTGAGAGAAAAACAAGACTAGTTGATTTCATAAGTCTGTGCGCCTTGGATCCTTAGTATGATAGCCTCTTTTGAAAATCAAGAATATCATTCTGTGCTCTAAGTGGTAGGACCAGGGGGGTGGCTGTCATGGTGATGATATTCAAATAAAAGTGTGAAAACTTTTCTGGACATTAGGTCAAAAAAATAGTCTAGTCCTTAAATGAGTAGCTGCTGTTACATTAATGTAACCTTCTGGCATTTAAACACAATGCTCATAGTGATTTAAAGCACATGACTTAGAGTTCTTAGCTTCTAACACTACTTCTTTCATCATTATTAGAAAAATTACTGTTAATAGAAGTGGTCATACTTACTTTTTTTCTCAACATGATGATAATTTAATATTCAAAGTGTAGTGTTTGATTCCTACTTAACATTCTAATTTACATTTCTAAAGATTTATGTCATTTTGAGTAAGTTCTAATCCTGTGTAATGATGCAAATATTGTCAACAACCTAAATTCAATCTGATCTCATACTAGTACACAATTCCAGGTATATTACTACGAGCTATGCATATTTAGTTAAATTTATACTGAATAATAAGATTTTGTGAAGTTATAAATGTATACCTATATAGTTTCTTGCCATTCTTGACTTCCATAATAGTGAGGGTCAACATTTTCTTCTGTTCCTTCTTCTGGGGCTTCATGGTGATCATCGTGATCTTCACTGTCACCATCATCTTGAAATCTCCTGAAAACTTGGGTCTTCAGTTGTATTGTTTGACCATTAGTGCTTCTTTGTTCACCATAATAAATAGTGTGTATATGAGGGAAGCAGAGGAAAATGTATGAGCTTATTGGCTCTTTTAGCTTATTTTGATCTACACGAATATATGTTAAATGATGGTAATGTAGTGGGTCAACAGATGGACACATCAGTGTGACATTGATATCTGAAAAATACAAATTAAAAATTAATCCTGCTGTATTACATCCATAATCCTATATTGAATTTTATTAAAATGTTTATGGGGTATAGTTTTATTAATTAAAATACTTATAAGTAGAATTAGGTTTAATTATTTTTTACAGTAATCAAATAGTAAAATGAAAATGAAACTATAAATGAATTTTATATTATCAAAATAAACGATGGCTTCATTGGCTATTAAGTAATAATTTCAGTATTAAATAAATTATTTAGGTAATAAATTCTTAGTAGAAACAATCTCAAAAAGAAAAAAGTGAAAATCACCTATAGTTCTACTACTCAGGATCTCATATTTCTTTGTATACTCTACAGTACTAATTCTCAATGTTCAAGGTGATAACATTTAATAGAAAAGACTATAAACCTTGGAGTACACCTTTCTCTGGGGCCAATTTCTGCCATTTCTCTAGCCAGCTTCAAAGCAACCATTTTCAGCAATTTGTAAAGCATATGTTTTTAAAGATTCGTTCTTTAAAAGGTCAAAATACTCTTCTTTCTGTCTTTAAAAAGACAATGATGCTCATAATGAATTCAGTAAAGTTGCAGGATACAAAATTAATACACAGAAATCTGTTGCATTTCTATAACAACGAAAGATCAGAAAGAGAAATTAAAGAAACAATCCAACTTACCATCACATCAAAAAGAATAAAATAACTAGGAATAAACCTACCTAAGGAGACAAAAGACCTGTCTGTACTCCAAAAACTATAAGATGCTGATGAAAGAAATCGAAGATGATACAAACAGATGGAAAGATATACCATGTTCTTGGATTGGAAGAAGCAATATTGTCAAAATGACTATACTACCCAAGGCAATCTACAGATTCGGTGCAATCCCTATGAAATGGCATTTTTCACAGAACTAGAACAAAAAAATCTTAAAATTCATGTGGAGACACAAAAGACCCTGAATAGCCAAAGAAATCTTGAGAAAGAAAAATGGAGCTGGAGGAATCAGGCTCCCTGACTCCAGACTATACTACAAAGCTACAGTCATCAAAATGGTGTGGTACTGGCACAGAAACAGACATATAGATCAATGGAACAGGGTAGAAAGCCCAGAAATAAACCCTCACACCTATGGTCAATTAATCTACGACAGAGGAGGCAAGACTATACAATGGAGGAAGGACAGTGTCTTCAGTAAATGGTGCTGGGAAAACTGGACAGCTACATGTAAAAAAATGAAATTAGAACATTCTTTAACACCATACACAAATTAAACTCAAAATGGATTAAAGACCTAAATGTAAAACCAGATACTATAAAACCCTTAGAGGAAAACATAGGCAGAACACTCTTTGACATAAATCACAGCAATATCTTTTCTAAGCCATCTCCTAAAGTAATGGAAATAAAAAAATAAATAAACAAATGGGACCTCATTAAACTCAAAAGCTTTTGCACAGCAAAGAAACCATTAAAAAAATGAAAAGACAGGGCTTCCCAGGTGGCGCAGTGGTTGAGAGTCCGCCTGCCGATGCAGGGGACACGGGTTCGTGTCCCGGTCCGGGAAGATCCCACGTGCCGCAGAGCAGCTGGGCCCGTGAGCCATGGCCACTGAGCCTGCGCGTCCGGAGCCTGTGCTCCGCAACGGGAGAGGCCACAACAGTGAGAGGCCAAAAAAAAAAAAAAAAAAAAAAAAAAAAAAAATGAAAAGACAACCTACAAAATGGAAGAAAATATTTGCAAGCGATGCAACCGACAAGGGATTAGTCTCCATTTATAAAGAGCTCATACAACTCCATAACAAAAGACCAGACAACTCAGTCAAAAAATGGTCAGACCTAAATAGACATTTCTCTAAAGATGACATACAGATGGCCAAGAAGCACATGAAAAGATGCTCAACAAACATCGCTAATTATTAGAGAAATGCAAATCAAAAGTACAGTGAGATGTCACCTCACACCATTCAGAATGGCCATCGTCAAACAACTATAAACAATAAATGCTGGAGAGGGTGTGGAGAAAAGGGAACCCTCCTACATCGTTGGTGGGAATATAAATTGGCACAGCCACTATGGAGAACAGTATGGAGGTTCCTTAAGAAACTAAAAATACAGCTACCATATGATCCAGCAATCCCACTCCTGGGTGTATATCTGGAGAAATCCATCGTTCAAAAGGATAGAGGCACCCCAAATGTCATTGCAGCACTGTTTCCAATGGCCAAGACGTGGAAGCAACCTAAATATCCATCGACAGATGAATGGATAAACAAGATAGGGTACATATATACAATGGAATATTACTCAGCCATTAAAAAAGAATGAAATAATGCCATTTGCAGCAACATGGATGGACCTGGAGATTATCACACTAAGTGAAGTAAGTCAGAGAAAGAAAAATATCATATGATATCACTTATATGCCAAATCTAAGAAAAAATGATACAAATGAACTTATTTACAAAACAGAAACAAACAGACTGAGAGAATGAACTTATAGTTACCAGGGGGGAAGGGTGGGGGAGAGGAATAGATTGGGAGTTTGGGATTGACATGTACAACAAGGACATACTCTATAGCACAGGGATTGCTGCTCAATATTCTATAATAACCTAAATGGTAAAAGAATTTGAAAAAGAATAGATACATATACATATACATATACATATATATACATGTATATATATGTATATACATATACATGTATATGTATAACTGAATCACTTTGCTGTTCACCTGAAACTAACACAACATTGTTAATCAACTATGCTCCAATATAAAATAAAAATTAAAAATATATAAGTAAATAAAGTTAAATAAATAAATAATAAAAATAAAAACAATACACACAAAAAAATGAAATTTTACATACTTTCAATATCATTATTTTCTAGGTATAGGTGTTCTAAATTTCTTGGAATATAGAATGCTTGCTTCAGTTTGTTGTGTCCAACATTGAGCTCTATAAGGTTGGAAAGATTAAAAATATAATATGGGATGTCTTGTAGTTTATTGTGTGACATTCTTAGAGCATGAAGTTTTGGGAGTTCATTGAAGTAGTTTTCTGGTATAGCAGATATTGAATTATTTTCTAAAGACAGATACATAAGTGAAGAAGGCAAACCAGGAGGCATTGATTCTAGTCGGTTATTACATAGGTTAAGCTGCATTAGTTTTTCCATTTTCGCAAGGATTTTTTCTTGTAATGTAGAATCATCAATTTGATTGTAACAAAGATCAAGCATGGTCAAGTTTACTAGCCCATTCACAGCACTTGTCTGCAGTCTGGAGATCTGATTGTAACCAAGAAGAATCCTTTCCAAAGACTTAGGAAGAGGAAACGGAAAGTCTTCTAAATTGTTATGCTGTAGGTGGAGTTGTAGTAGATTTGACAATTTAGCAAACACACCATGATCAATATTTTGAGATTTAATTTTGTTGTGGCTGAGATTGATTTCTTTAAGATGAGTGGCATTGATGAATGAATCTGCAGTCACAACCTCAATTTCATTAAACTGAAGATAAACTTGCTGAATGTATGCTGGAATATTTGGGATAGTCTTGAGTTTGCGATTATCACAGTACATTGATAATGGAAAGTTAGGTGGACAGAAGCATTCACTGGCACAACCTAAATTATGCTGATGAAATGGAACTCCATAATCTTCATTTTGATGAAATTGGAATTCTGGTTGGTAGACATCATCTGGTTCTTGGTCATAATCTTCATCCCATTGATAACTTTCATACTGACAATATACTTTGACTCCAAGAAAGAAGAAAAGGACACACACTGGACTTGAAAAGCCCATGTTCCTTTTTTTGTCCTATTACAAGGCAAAAAGGAAATATATTGTGGGAAAAGTGAGTAAACTTAGAGTAATTTGTATATAAATTGACAGTTATATAAAATGCATAATATCTATATCTGTATTGAAATATATAAAAGAATGTCCAGAATTAATGGGTACTGCTCAGACCAAAATTAATGTATAAGGTGCTATTTTTTAAAAAGTCACATACTGCACTGAACCAGACTAAGTAACCATCTTTTAAGAGAATCTCGATTTGTCTTGCTTACTAGACTATAGATTTACAATGATAGCATGACATCTCTCCACCCCAAAGCCAACTGCTCTTTCCATATAAATGCTGGATGTTCTCACTGACTTTTTGGCCCCTTCAGTGATGTTTACTGCCTATGAGAAGAGAGACTCTATGTTTTAGTTACTTAGGAGATTCTTGATATTAACCAAAATTTTCCTGCTGCAACTTTTGTTTGCTGATGTTCTTTTCTGCTCTTTGGAAGAACATAGAACACTCCATTTTACGTGAAAGCTTGAGATATTAAAAATAACTATCATGTTTCCTCTTAGTGTTTTCTGTCCAAGACTAACTGTGACTTCAAATTTTCCCTGTGAAATAGTTTGCAGAATCCAATTATTTTGTCTCTGACTCTACTTGAATAACTACTTTAAATTACAAACACACACAATATTTACATTCCAATTACTTTCTAATTGGTTATTCTATACATTTTTCCTATTACCTTCCTAGCTTCTTTCTTTCCACTAATATTTTGGAGTTAATTTCTAGATACACATATTAAAAACACACTGTCCTGTCTCCCAGGAGTTTAGGTCTTAGTGGAGGATCAGTTGATGACTTTGCCTCTTTTTTCACCAAGAAAATAGAATAGACATTTACTCTAATATATTGACTTCTATTTAATCTTATCCCTTCCTACATAAAATGCCAAAATGGTCATGGTTTCATCTTTTAAACAATTTTGATTTTGAAATTCATAAAGTTTCCTTTTGCAAATCTAAATAGACTCCATCCATTGTTCCTTTTTATCCATGTGATTCATGGAGGACATGGCATTTGCATTAGACTTTGAAGGAATGTGAGGGTTCTCGCAGAGGGAAATAGGGAAGATTTGCAGCTAGAAGAGATGAGCAAAAACATGTAAGCAACAAAGGGTGAGATGTTTGGGATGTGGTGGTTAACTGTTGAAGGAGCATAATAAGACTGTTACAGCCAATCTCAACCAGAACCTAGAGGCCTAAATTGTGACCTCAGGAATTTGCACTCTGGGAATGAACACCTAGTTTAATTCATTAATATAGCTGAGCCATAATCTTCACACTGCAGTGTTCATGCATCAAGTAAGATAGAGTCCTGGGAGGAGAAGTGAAAGAGTATGGTCTCATCCCAAAGGGCAGTGTTCAGTGCTGGCTGACCCAGACAGGGCACTGGGAAGCTCCCAGTGGGTATGATCAGGAGTGCTTTTTCACCTGCTATAATTAGTGACCCTGTACTAGATGTTGTGTGTGGACATGGTTAGAAAAGAGCCTTGCAAATATTACTAGTGATTTAGTTGGTTTGATTGTGTTACTTGATGATTGTCTCGAATTTTAGGGGTGAGGCACTGTGCTTCATGGGAAATACAGAAATGAAGACATGAGCATACAATTTAGTGCATACAATTTAGTAGACAAGAGAGGCACAGCACAGTGAACCATATTCTCAGGCAGAGGAAAATATGGTTTGCAGCAGATACTAGTGCTGTGGGAACCAGTGTCTTGACCCTGCTTGCGGGAGACAGAGAAACCTTTGCAGACATCATTTGGCCAAGACTTTGGGAGATTCACAGGAATGGGTATAGAACACCCTATACATATTACTCTCTAGTTGATAATATTTTATGTATTAAAATTATAGTATTTTATTATACTCATTATACTATAACATATCAACTTTTTTTTTAAGTGCTTGTCATACTTCATTTAAAGTACTGCACCATGGAGCTGAGATGAAAGTAGAAGCAGAGGCAGAGACATGCAGCTGTGCGGGGTCAGGCCATATAGGGGGTCTCAGAAGCTGACTGATACACAGTTGAACTTTGAAAAGAGTATTGCTCATCAGAACTCTGAATTTTATCCTTGTGTTAGAACATCAGTAATCATCAGTTAGTAATCTTACATTTGAGAATTAAATTCATGACTGTTCGACAACTACAAGAAATGGTTGGGAAAAAAGGAGACCTGGATGATACTTTTGGTTCAGCACTTACCTTTGCCTAGGAATCAAGACCTCATGATGAGAGCCTCTCTGAAAATAAAGGGATTCTTAGTATTATCTGCTTTTGGTCTTCTTGGCCGCCTAAGAAGAAAGGTCTTTCCCTGAAGACAGTTTCTCTTCTAAATCTGAGCTCATCATCATTGTCCTCATCCACTGAGGACCTCGGTCCTCTAGCTCAACCTTGTCCCACTCCCTTTTCAATAAGTGCTGTTTTCTGGTCTAAAATCCATTCCATCTCCATTGATATACCCATTATTTTCTATTTTTCTTACTCCTCAACTTCACCCCTGATCATTTTCCCTGTTATAGTGCTCTCTTATTTCTTTTTATCCAAATTTTTCATTCAGCTAATCTTTTACCAGCCATTTGCAAGGCATACTTTTATTACTTCTGCCTTTTATGTTCGGCAATTTATGCTTTGTCTCCTATAGGAAAACTCATAGCAAAACATTATAACTCACTGTCAATCATCTCATTTCTCAACCTCTAATTTTTGACAGACTCTAGTACAATGCACAGTTTGTAAGTGCTCACAGATTTGTTGAATGCATGATTAATTTTTTGTTATAGATTACATCTTGTTAGTGATGTTTATTGCTACTAACATTGATTATTTCTAGGCATTTATTTCACCACAGTGATTTCTCTAAATGAACATTTTCACAGAGAACATGGCTATTCTCTTTTCTATTGAATATTTCTGTCACAATATACTGTATTCACTTTCCTACCTGTATTCCTTACCTTGTTTAGTAGAAAAATCACAAATGTGAAAAAGAAAGTTTAAGGCAAACTGAAATATGTCACCAGGTTTTTTAAATTACTCATTAATATGAATTTTTCATATTATAGCTAAAAAAGTTTCTATGTCATAGCATTTCTCTCACCTGGAAAAAAGCAGTCGTGCTTTCATCAAGAAAGTTCTAATTTAAATTACTAATCAAAATGAGATGGAACTTTGTCCTGGAAAGTTTAAAGTAATTGGAAAGCTTCATAGCATTTTACTATTTTAAAAACTTAATTGTTTTATTTGTATGCCACAGAAACTAAAATATAAGAAACCAAGTATTAGGATATGATTCAGAATTTTTTCCAAAGCAGTTTTAAATTTAACCCTGTAAAATTAAAGTTGTGTACATCACTGTCACACACAAGGCCTAAGGAAGTAAAACTCTTTTGCTATTAAAAATATGAAAGTCTCAAAATTATTTTTAGCCATAATACATTTGGATCTTAATTAACTGAAACCCAAGAAAGTAGAACCTTCAGTGCTAGATAGAGTACTTATATTTTCTCTTTGAGGAAGAGGCAAACACATCGTAACATCAGGGATTTGGTTAATAAAGAAATTTTGAGAAAGTTTCTAGTGAAATTTGTACAAATACCCATTTCTCTAAAACCAGAATCTCTAGCATTGCTCAGATGTATGGCTCAAAGGCGTTCGCTGGTTTTTTGTCACTTAAAGTTGAGAGAGAGAGAGAGGGAGAGGGAGAAACAGAAAATTATTCCATTAACGTGAGAATCTTTCATCGAAAGTAAAAAAAAATCTAAACAAAGATCATTTATTGGGTAAATCTTAAGTTAGAAAATTAAATTCCCTATATTACTTCCCTGAATATTTTTGCTAATCAAATTTTAATGTAGCTTTTACCAGATATTGCTTATAAAAATGTGCATTTATGATGGCTACAATCTATTTTAATGTTAAATATATTTTAAACAGTAGGAATATTTTCTTTAAAAAATGAAAATTATTTATCATCATACCTGTTGAGTTTGCTTTAGTTTTCAGGGGCTGATGAATTTGCAAATCCTGTAAGTGAATCAGAAATTCCTAAATTCTTAAACTGAATCTTTTAAAAATCCACAGTAACTGTGTGTCCAGGCAGGGCTGTCCCTTGAATTGCTATAGCAATTTAAGCAAATATAATCTACTTGGAAAATACTTGGGTTGAATTAAAATTATGTATTTCTTTTCATTATCCAAAACTTTGTGGACTCAAATTAAAATGCTTGTGTTCTTGGTCAGATTTATGTGGCTTACTTCTTTCTTTTCCCCTTAATTTTGGTTTGAGGTATGGCAAGAATTTCCTCTAGTATGAAAGGCAAACAGAACTAAATGAAACAGCATGTACTGATTACTGTTTTTATTTTCATTTTCATGCCAAAGAATTCTTCAAAGTAAGGTCCACTGTAACATGGAGCTCAGTGTCTTGGCATTTTAAGGTGGAACTCAGAGTCATCTTGAGACCTCGGTTGTCTGATACCGTGTGTTCACACCAGTACTTCCCTTTATTAAGACAAGGAACCAGGATTAGAAACATACAGCATTTCACATCTGTTTTATTTTAAAAATGAAATAGATGGTCATTAGTGACACAGATTAAATATATTACTTTTCCATACAAAGAAGTATACCTTCTTTTCTATCAGCTATCCCCTTTCTCACCTTCCTCCCAAATACATCCACTAGCATGTGTTCTAATAACCTTTGAAATAAAATTAATCTCTTAGTTATGGAATTCACTCAGAAGGTTTATCTCTGATTTGTCTGTTTTTACTAGTTCAAAAAAATAATTTTATAGTATTGAATAAGATGGAATTAGGAACTTCTGTTGACCAGCTATTATTGCCTTTATTTTGCAAATGTAGAAAATTTACAAATTTCACTGAGCTGTCTCTCTTGAAGAGTGGCAGTTAACTATTTAAATGCTCTATTTTTATACCAATATTTTGATGTTTTAAACAGAGTTAACTTGTATCTCTTGGCAGTGAACTTTGAGTTCATTCTTTGGGAGATTCTTTCAAGCTTGTACAAACTAATAAGGTGAAGTGATTCCTGGAATTTGTTTTTGTTTCCTCAAAATAGTATTTTCCATTAGGTTTTCATAAAGAATGCACAAGATTTATTTTGTTATACTTCAGATTTTTAAAAAGTGTACAGTGTTTCAAGAGATGTTTTGGAAATACTGTAAAAATCTCATCTATTATTTGAGACACTGGTATGTAAAACGTGGCAGACCATATTTGGGCCAAGATTTCATCTTGTTACTGATCTTTTCCATATGTTTCCTTTTAGTGTTTGTTCTTAAAACTCAGACTTCCACGCTAAAGAAGAGAGCAAATCTGTACTTTTTCCAAAAATCATTCTACATGCCCTCACAGTTCTTTTGGAAGGTTAATGTAAAATTAACAGCTTAATTTTTATTAAATTCTTCTTTTAACTCTGTGATTTGAACTTATGATAGTGCTTATGTTGTTCATGTTCCTAACAAATGTGAAAATATTTATCAATAGATAGCTAAACCACTCAGAATTGAAAGTGTCTAGGAAATTTAAATAAGGTTGATGGTGTCTAGGAGGTTTAAGTTTGGCAGGGGGTGGGAAGGGTGGTTTGAGTCAGGCCTTAGAGGAAAACTAGAAGCTGCAAGTGATTGTGACAGTTCACTGTTTCAATTGGTGGTTATTTTATTTTATTTAAAAATTGTTTTTAATTTTATTTATTTATTTTTGGCTGTGCTGCACTGCTTGCGGGATCTTAGTTCCCTGGCCAGGGACTGAACCCTCACCCTTGGCAGTGAAAGCGCAGAGCCCTAACCACTGGGCCACCAGGGAATTCCCTCAGTTGGTGATTATAATTGTAGCAATTAGGGAGAGAAGTCAGTTGAATTGGTGAAAGTCTAAATTATATTCTATGATTATAATTTGACTGAAGTAGATAAACTGTCTCTAGAGCCAGATAACTAGTGCGGGCTAGGAAAGGTCTGACTGAGACTGGTAATTATGGTAATAAACCATAATAAAGATTTTTAATTCATTTATTCATCCAGCTAATATTTGTTGAGCACCTACTTTGTTCAAGGCAGTTTTAGGTGCTGAGAACCCAGCAGTAAAAGTCCCTATTATCACTGAAGAGGAAGAGAGAAACTGAACATATCAAGTGGTGTGGAGTGCAATGGAGAAGAACAAAGCAAGGCAGAGGGGTAAAAATGAATGAGCGCAGAGGTTTAAGTCAATAGTTCTGACACTACTGTGATGTATGCTGGAAAGGAATGGTTATGTAACTGTGTGGTGAATGGGGGAGCCAGGTGTCTCACCACTGGAGGGAGGTTACAGATAAGCAAGTGGAGGTGGTGGGAATGAAAGGCTACTGTTGTTTTAGATCTCATTAATACTTGACATTATCTAACTTTCCCCCCAATGTTTAGGTATATGATGGTATTACTTGTGATTTTAATTTCCATTTCCCTGATTACTAAAGAGGTTGAACATTTTTTCAAATGTTTTTCAGCCATTTGGATTTTCTCTTCTGAGGTATGCCTGTTAATGTTTTTGCTCATTTTTCTGTTGTGTTATGTGTCTTTTTCTTATTTATTTTTAGGGGTTTTTTATGTTTATGGATACCCATTTTTTGTTATATGTGTGACACTGTCATCATTTTTCAGTTGATTCTCTTGGGTTTTTCAGGTTGATTCTCTTGGGTTTTGCATACGAATCATATGCAAATGATATTGTACCTTCTTTCTAATTGTTTTTGAGAGGTTAGCTCTTATTTCAAGAAGACATTTTGCAAATCTTTACTCTTCAGACAATTGGACTGTTGCTTTGTGTTTCTCCAGGTTAACTCCTAAGTAAACCACATGAGATAAAAGTACAATTCAAATCAATAAGCCACATGATAACAAAACTGGAAGACATCATAGAAACTTCATCAAGTAAGGAGGTACAGAGAGAAGAATTTAAAAAGACCAGCATACAACCAGCCACAGATGGCAAAGAGAGAGCAAGGAAGCACTCAAAGGCTCATGCAGCAGCCAGTACTTTCCACCCTCACAGAGTAAAGTTCCAAGATAATATACACAATTAAAAAGTAGTTGTCTATATAATCCATTAAATTTTTTTTTTTTCACTGACTGGGACTGAGTACAAAACAATACCGTTTTCAGACTCAGGAAAGGGTGATAAGATGTGTTTCCCTTTGCCAAATTAATGGGAATGCCAAATTAATGGGAATATTTTCTTTTCTGCTAAAGGAGAGGGTAGGCCATGTGGATCCAGGAAGCAGAATTCCTATTACTTATGTTTACTCAAGTTAACAGTTATTAAGGAAATTTTTAGGAGAGGGTTATACAGGAGTGAAGTACTGACACATACTGAAATTTTTAGGAGAGGGTGGCAAGGTTCTGGGATGGGTATGTCTGCTTGGTGGAGTGAGTGAATGAATGGATGTTTGCTGGATGAAGTGGGAGTATGAACTGGGAACAGGCACGGAAGAACCTTCTGGAGTGATAGAAATCTTTTATATCTTGATCTGCTTTGAACGAATGGTGCTAAGACAACTGAAACACATGCAAAAATTTACTGAAAATGGAACAAAGACCTAAGTGTTAGAGCTAATATGGTTAAATTTTAGAAGAAAATATAATGTTAGTCATTATGACCTTGGGTTAGGCATCAGTTTCTTAGATGTGGCACTAAAAGTGCAAGAATCAGAAGAAAAAATAGGTAAATTGGATGTCATTAAAATTTAAATTGTTTTCTGTGCCAAAAGATACTATCAAGAAAGTGGAAAAAAAAAAAAACCCACACATGGGAGAAAAATTTTGCAAATCATATATCTGATTAAGAACTTGTGTCTAGAATAAATAAAGAACTCGTACAACTCAATAATAATAATAATAATAATAATATTAAAATGAGTGAAGGGTCTGAATAAATGTTTCTCCAAAGGTAACAAATGGTCCATAAACACATGAAAAGATGCTCAACATCACTAGTCATCAGGAAAATGCAAATCAGAGCCACAATGAAGTACCACTTCACATTCTCTAGGATAGCTGAAATAAAAAATATGGCCAATTACAAGTGTTGGTGAGGATGTGGAGATTTTGGAATCTACATATATTGCTGATGAAAATTAAAAATGGCACAGCCACTTTGGAAAACAATCTATAGTTCCTCAGAAAGTTAAACATAAAGTTGCCATTTGACCCATCAGTTTTACTCCTAAGTATATACCCAGGACAAGTGAAGACATACGTTCACACAAAAACTTGAATGCACATATTTATAACAGCCAGAAAGTAGAAACAAGTTATATGTTGATCAGCTGGTGAATGGATGAATAAGTGTGGTCCATCTATACAATGGAATATTACTTGGCAATAAAAAGGAGTGAAGTACTGACACATGCTATGACATGAATGAACCTTGAAAACATTATAAGTGGAAGAAACCAGTCACAAAAGACCACATATTATATGATTCCATTTATATGAAATGTCCAGAATAGGCAAATTGATAGAAACAGTGGATTTGTGGTTACCTAAGGCTGGGAGTAAATGACATTAATCAGGACAGGGTTTCTTTTTGGAGTGATAAAAATGTTCTGAAATTGATTGTGGTGATGGCTGATAAGCTTGAATATATTAAAAACCTTTGAACTGTATACTTTAAATGGTAAATTGTACGGTATGTGAATTATATCCACAATAAAGCTGTTATTAAAAATAATAATAGCAATGGGAGTTTAAATGAATAAGATTGGCTTAAGTTGATAATTTAAAAAACTGAGTGAGAAGTAGATGAAAGTTCATTGTAGTGTTTTGTCTACTTTTGCTTCTATTGAAAATTTTCCTTAATAAAAAGAAAATCTCTTTTTTACATTTGGTAGTGTATATATGTCCATGCCAAGATAGCTAGTGGGAAGCAGCCACATAGCACAGGGAGATCAGCTCGGTGCTTTGTGACCACCTAGAGGGGTGGGATAGGGAGGGTGGGAAGGAGACGCAAGAGGGAGGGGATATGGGTATATATGTATACGTATAGCCGATTCACTTTGTTATACAGCAGCAACTAACACAACATTGTAAAGCAATTATACTCCAATAAAAGTGTTAAAAACTAAAAATTAAAAAAAAAAAAATCTCCAGCACTCAAACTGCAAGTTTTAATATTAGGAATTCATATGACTGATTGCACCCTCCATGTAGAGCTGGCATGGCACATGCTTTTGCCCCTT